GTGCAATAAAGGTTTATTCACTTGTTGTAAGTATATTGGTTGCCTTTTGTGAATATGTTCAGTGATTGACCTCTGTGATAAACTAAAAAAGAAAAAATAAAATTATGGTCTATCAAGCCATAAATCATTTTAGGATCAGAATTTTTCAGTTTTACCATCAGTTAGGATGATAATAAATTGCAGAAGTGTTTCCTAAATGTCCTCCTGAATGCCTCCTAATTTTTAGAGCGTGTTCTGTAGTTCAAGACACGTCAACTTATGTAAACAATTTCTCCCTATCTGTTCCATTTAATATCTTGAAAGCTTTGATTAAATCACCCCCAAATCTTTCACATTCTAGATGGTACCACTCTGTTATAGTCCCAGCTGATGGTAATACTAGATAAGTCAGACCCCAGAATGAAACCTGTCTTGATAGACCATAAGAAAGATCTTAACACATGAATCAAAGCAATGTTTCAGACTGTTTTGCAACACTATCCATTATAGAGACTCAATCCATGTGAAATATTGCTTGTATTGCAGTTTTAAAAAAACCATCATGGAGTTTTGATGTACAAGGCAAGTTTTTTTACTCAGAGGGTGGTGGGCGCCTGGAATTCGCTGCTGGGGGAGGTAGTGGAAGCAGATACGATAGTGACTTTTAAAGGGCGTCTTGACAAATGCATGTATAGGATGAGAGTAGAGGAATACGGTCCCCGGAAGGGTAGGGGGTTTTAGTTATGACTGGCATCATGTTGGTGCAGGCTTGGAGGGCCGAAGGGCCTGTTCCTGTACTGTAATTTTCTTTGTTCTTTGTTATAGTTGACACCTTCCAGTTTCTTTCCCTTGGACAATTGAGACCACTTTTTTTTTTGAGAACCTCTCACAATTCTATTTACCCAAAACTTTCTTAGTTTTAACAAGTTTGAGATAACCATCTGAACTCTTCTGTCTTGGAAGCCTCACAGACTACAAAACAATTTATAATATGGCTGTGCCACCAGATCCAGAATTAAAGGTTCACAGCATGATTCCACAGGACAAAGATGCTCCAAATAAGAGCAAACCAAAAACAGGTCATCAGGAGATTCCCAGGAATGCCTAAAGGTTTTCAGGACATTTAAGAAAATGCTTCAAGTTTGGTCAATACTGAAGTGGGGGGATGGAGGAATGCAGTGGACTGGTTCTGCGGTGGAGTGAGAAAGAAGGAAACACAGGCATGGAAAGCGTAAGAGAGGGAGAAAGAGAGAAAGAGGCAAAGAGAGAGAGAAAGATATGCACAGACACAAAAGTCTGAGTGTCAGTTCTGTCACTTACTTCAGGGAAAACCTATACTATGACTATAAACTTATTCATTTAAACGAGAGTTCATTTCTTCATACCACATGATACCAGAATAAGATTTCAAAATTGTAAAAAGCAGAGGGAACAGAAACATCATTGTTTTAACATATTGATAACATTACTAATTAGAACTCTGTACACCTCTCTCCTTGCGGTTGAAGCTTACAGCAGCACCTCCTGTAGAAGGTAAGAAGAGACATCTTCCATACAGAACAAGGCAGCTTCTTTTCCAGGCTCCATAATTAACAAATCACCAACAAGACCACAGCAGCATTTATGACTTTGTTTTTGTTAGAGTATCAATTAGAGAGGGAGGGGTAGCACTTTTCACAGATGATCTCACTGCACTCTTTGGTGTGGCTCATTCTAAAGTGATTCCCACCTTTGCTGAATTCTCAACTGCAACTGCAAGTAATTATTAACATACAACAGCAGCCACACCCTAGTAAACCACTTGAACAGTTGGGATACAACAGCTGCTGAGTCACCTACCCTCGTCAACTTAGGAACTTGTCTATTCTGGTGTGCAAAGACAGATTCTAGTAGACTGAGTGGTTGAGCCTAAGCTCAGGTCCATTGGTCTGGAAGGTGGGTCAGCAATGCTGTTGTGAAACATGTAACATTTGACAAGAAAGGGACCTATGTCCTGGCCACCCTCAGTGTCCAGATTGATCTCCAGCCATCTAAACTTGTCTTGCTACTGGTCCGAGATAGGTCAGGACAAGAGAGGAAGGTAAATGATGCACAAGTTTCCCTGACAATAATTCAATTTACATGTATGTCATCTTTAGTCATTCAATATTTGATAGGATAATGTTGTCAAGTGTTAGAAATGCAGGCTCCTTTAATGGTTAACTACAACAGCTCCAGAGTTGATACTCATTAGACTTGGTATTTGGGTCCTGGGTTCTTAGGGTCTTGCAGTGATAGTGATCCGAATTCTGAATCAGGAGGCCTGGGTTCAGGTCCCACCTGCTCCAAAGGTTTGTGATAAAGTCTCTGAACAGGTTGATTAGAAAGTATCTTTAACAGAGATGGCGGGACTGGTCCCCGGTGATGATTTGGTTTCTGGACAAGGAAGGGTGGAAACTGGTGTTTGTGTTAAACTACAGATGTATAATAAAACTTTTGTAAATCTCTGAAAGTCTTTTGTTGCCTAATTTAACATATGTACATCAGTCTGTTAAATGTGGTAGCAGACCATTAATCTTGAATCTCTTCAGATGGAAGATAAAGAAAGCAGATGACATTGCAATGTGATATCTGTATTAACTATCGCAAGACACAGCTAACTTGGTTGCAAGTGTTCTTTTAGCCTGGGAATTTAACAAAGTACTAGCCATTTATCTGAAGATACGTGACCGAAATCAGAATATCTATCCATTACATTTTGCAGACATGGTGACCGAATTTAGCATATCCACGATGATAATCATTAAGGGCAAATGGACCATAGTGGACAAAGCTGTAGAAAATAGGATGACAAAGTAAGAGGTTAAAGCAAAAAAGTTATAGAACTGGAAGGAACTAATCATACATTCGAAAGTTGATGATCGGGGTCAATCTGTTCTGTCTGTATGGAAAAGGTTAAACCAGATGGGATCTACAAGGCCAAGAGACAGTAGGAACTGCCGATGCTGGAGTCTGAGATAACAAGGTGTGGAGCTGGAGGAACACAGCAGGCCAGGCAGCATCAGAGGAGCAGGAAAGCTGATGTTTCGATCCGAAAGGCTAGATTGGCAGCAAATGGAAAAGATTCAGGGTTACTATGTGAAAGAATAACCAGGTTTTAATTTACAGGGGGGATAATCGATCTGTTTGTTCTTATCTACTGATAAGCAAATGCTCACATGAGCTGTGATTCTATGAGAGATTATGCCTCTCACAGCCCTGTTTATTTTTCATGGTGCTGGATCACATAAGTATTAGTAATTACCGTAATTTGTTGTGTTTTTTTCTTTAGTTGCTTAGAATCAATAGGGCTTCCGCTAATGATATGGTATTTTGGACTGCAGCATGAATTTCAGCCCCTCAAAAGTAGTATCCATGTAATAGTCAACACCATAAATTTAACTTCATAAAATAGTCTAAAAATTTGACTTTTACACGAGTATATACAGTAAGTTCTAGCGCATTCAAATTCAAATCAAGCAAAATGGATCAAATTTAATTTCACATCAATGTCAATCCAATTGTATCGTATCCTATCAGATCTGGACAGAAAGATAAAGCTGCTACAAGGTTGAGATTGGACAACTGAGGAGTCTCGTCAGAAAGTTTAACCCGTTGGGCACACAGACCAAATCAGATACGAGTTTTGACGTGCTGGAACTTTGTCTGGCCGTGAAAAATCCAAAGGTGGAGGATTTCTTGAGAACAAATAAAATTTTAAATGAAATTGTAAGCTGAATTTCTCAGCTTTGGGCCATCCTGAAAATATGACTTTAATATGAGATTAATCATTTTTAATAATGAACATGAGGGTTTGTGATATGCCTCATGGGGGAAAATAGGAAAAGTAGTCACTTCACAAACAGGTAAAGAGAGTGCTGAAGCTCTGGCTCTCATTTTTGCTGTTGACTTGCTGTTCCATTTGTCAAAGATCCTAGAAGAAATGCTATATGTAGAAGTGGCAAATAACAATATCAATACGATATTGCACAGGTCTTTGTGGGACAATGTACATTCTACAAAAGATAGAAGAAAAGACTTAGGACAGATAAAACCAATTTAAGGAAGGAGATGGAAAGGAAGCTCTAAGCTTAGGGGCTAGTCATCAATTATTAGATTATTAAATTATTATTAGATTATTAAAACTGTTGAAGATTCTAGAAGGAGGACATAGTGGGAACAGTGTATGTAACAGTGGTAAATTTGAAATGGTGTCTTTTTTTTCAAATGCTGAAACATTTACTTTCTTCTTAAAAGTAGTAATAGAAATGCAGGTTACTTTAAGGGTTAAGCAGAACAGCAGAGTTGACTGAGAGTGAGGCAAAGATAAAGTCCCCAAAGAGACACGACTAGTTTAACCAGAGGGTCACCACGCCTCAGGCTAGGGGCGAAGTTCAGAACACGGGACCTTCATAGTAACCTCAGTTGGTATGAAAATTGAACTCACACTGTTGGCTTTACTCTACATCACAAACCAGTCATCCAGCCAACTGGGCTAACCATTCAGTTAGTTGTTCTCACCAGAGCTGGTGTGGCACATCCCACATGGTACTGCAACAATTACACCCAAGTGGAACTAGTCATGTCAACAGAATGCCTGCGACTTGCTTGTCAAAGTGAAAATTCTCAGGAGAACTTGTATCTAGGGTACGGTCTCATAGCATTCAAAAGGAAGGGATATAAGGACACGCTGAAAATGTTAATTTAAGGATTCTGATATCAATTTTGAGTTCTGGGAGAAACTTGGCCAGGATCACTGCACCTGGCAGATCTAAATTAAAAAAAAAAAATCACGTGGCCTACTTTGAAAGCACGTCAGAAGCAGAGAAAACCCTGAGCCAACAATCTTTGCTGTGTTCTGTCCTATTTGCAGCAGAACATTCCAGCCTCAGCTGTCACCTATGTACCCATTGTAATCCTATCAAACATTATGGATAATTACATGGTATTCCCAACACAAGTGAGAACTGGGAATGTAAGCTCAACTGGCATTGAACACTCACCTTGAACGAGAATACCAGCCGCACCAGAAAAGGGAACCTGACAGCCTGAAGAATCTTTTTTTCATTGAGTGTGTGCTCGATTTGTTTCAGCTTGACCACCTTAGTAGGAAAGACAAATACTGAATCAGCTGAAACCACAACTGTTTTTATTACATCTAGACTGATATATCGAGTCCATGAAAGAAAACATGTTCCTTTCATCAATCCATTACATCTCGTTACTCGTCACGCAACAGTGGCTGTTGGCATTGTGGGGACTTGGGGCTGTTCAAGTGCGAAAGTCTTATATTTGTGACTACAGTTGACCTAACAAATTCACGTGGCTTATTGTAAGATCTTAATTTATGCTGATTCTATTAAGCACCAAACTCCTGTCACAGCAAACACTGGTTGTCTCAATATTCTAAATTCATCCACTTCAATTACACAGTCACTAACATCCTGCTCTCTGATATGTGTTTTCCTTCCTCAGAGAGGGTTTTCTATTACTGAAGCAACTACTTTTCTGCTTCCCATTGCAGTCAATGAAACTTAGAAAGAAAGTGGAGGACAAACTTTTATTTTAAAAACAGCATGTGGAATGCGCTGCCTCAGAGTATGGTGCAGGCAGCTTCCATCAAGGTTTTCAAAAGAGAATTGGATAATTATCTGAAGAGAAGTGTGGGGAAAATGCAGGGGAGTGCAACTAGGTAAGTTGTTCTTATATTGAGCCAGTAAAGTTATAAGAGGTTACTGTGTTGTAATCATTCTGTGATACTATGAAAACAAAATCTGTTGCTGTGTGAGTCTGCCGGGCTGTGAGTGGGTGGCTGGGTGCATTCATGCAGCGTGCAGTTGGGTGTTGCATAATTTGAAGAGATGGATCAGCTGTGGCTCAGTGGGGTGCACTCCCGCCTCTGAGTCAGGAGAATGTGGGTTCAAGTCCCAGTCCAAGACATGAGCACAAATATCAAGGCTGCCACTCCAGCACAGTAGGGCATGCTACACTCTCAGAGCTGCCATTTTTCAAACTAAACTTTGAACTGTAGTTCCATCTGCCCTCGTAGTGAACACAGAAGTTCCACAAACACTATTTCAACAAGGAGCAGTTGACTTATTCCATATGCCCTGGCCAATAGCCAGTTTGAATCTCAGTTAAACTGTATGCATGTGTAGGTACATGTAGCGTGTTTACATATACATGCATTTACAGAGTATGTTCATTTACATGAATGTGCGTGCCTCTGTGTGTATATATATATATAGCACATATGTGAGTGTAAATGGAACTTATTGTTGGCTTAGATTTTGGATACAATGGCAGGAATTTTGATTAATATTCAGGCTATCAGTGCTAACTGTAATGACAGGGTAAATCCATCAGCAACTTTTGGCATTCATGCATGCTCAGTTAAACACAGAAATTCAGATGTTGCTGTCAGATACCCTGGTCCACCACAGGGTACAATGATGCAGTCCTTGTTGATAAGTTCAGCATTATAATCACTGAAATGGGGAGTACTTGGGGTCCTTATCCATTAGTTCTCCGCTGAAGATCACTGAAAAACTAAGGATGGTACATTTATCAGTCAGTGAATTTTAAAACTGCACGGTAAGTAATAATGATTGCTGAACAACCTCCCTGTCCCTGAAAAATCAATGTATCAATGCAGAGTCTCATTCCTTCAGAAGAAAATTCATGCTGCAGGTTTTAAATTTTTCAAAATTTACTTTCTGTGTTTTATTCTTCTACATCTCTAATCTAATCTATATCTTGCTTCCTGTACGTGATATTTACTTGTTTTTTGGCCTACATATTGGGTCTGCTGCTTTTCGTCATTTATATAATTGATTTGGATGCGAATATAGAGGCACGGTTAGTAAGTTTGCATGTGACACCAAAATTGGAGGTGTCATTGACAGTGAAGAAGGTTATCTCAGAGTAAAACAGGACCTTGAATAGATGGGCAAATGGGCCAAGGAGTGGCAGATGGAGTTTAATTTAGATAAATGCAAGGTGTTGCATTTTAGTAAGGCAACTGAGGGTAGGACTTATACAGTCAATGGTAGGGCCCTGGGGAGTGTTGTCGAACAAAGAGACCTAGGGATACAGGTGCACAGTTCCTTGAAAGTGGAATCACAGGCAGACAGGGTAGTGAAGAAGGTGTTCGGCACGTTTGCCTTCATTGGTCAGAGTGCTGAACATAAGAGTTGGGATGTCATGTTGCGACTGTGCACGACGTTGGTTCGGCCATTTTTAGAATACTACATTCAACTCTGGTCTCCCTGCTAGAGGAAGGATATTGTTAAACTTGGTTGGATTCAGAAAAGATTTACAAGGATGCTGCTGGGATTGGAGCTTTAGGGAGATGCTGAATAGGCTGGGGCTATTTTGCCTGGAGCATCGGAGGCTGAGGGGTGACCTCATAGAGGATAATAAAATCATGAGGGGCATTGATAGGGTGAAGAGCCAAGGTTTTTTCCCCAGGGTAAGGGAGTCCAAAACTGGAGGGCATAGGTTTAAGGTGAGAGGGGAAAGATTTAAACGGGACGTACGGGGCAACATTTTCACGCTGAGGGTGGTGTGTGTATGGAATGAGCTGCCAGAGGAAGTGGTGGGGGTTGGTATAATTACAACATTTAGAAGGCACCTGGACGTGTACACGAATAAGAAGGGTTTAAAGGGATATGGGCCAAATGCTGGCAAATGGGGCTAGACCTTAGTCTAGTCTAGACCTAGTCTAGGGACTAGACCTGGGCGGCACGGTAGCTCAGTGGTTAGCACTGCTACCTCACAGCACCAGGGACCTGGGTTCAAATCCACCCTTGGGTGACTGTCTGTGTGGAGTTTGCACATTCTCCCCACGTCTGTGTGGGTTTCCTCTGGGTGCTCCGGTTTCCTCCCATAGTCCAAAGATGTGCAGGCTAGGTGAATTGGCCATGCTAAATTGCCCGTACTGTTCAGGAGTGTGTAGATCAGGTGGGTTATTGGGTAATGGGTCTTGGTGGGATGCTTTGAGGGTCGGTGTGGACTTGTTGGGCCAAAGGGCCTGTTTCCACACTGTAGGGATTCTATGATAGAGCAGTTTAGGATAATTGGTTGGTGTGGACGAGTTGGGCCAAAGGGTCTGTTTCTGTGTTGTAAAACTCTGTGACTCTATCTAAGTGAGAATACGTCAATCTGAATGCAAAGCCTCACCATTACTTGACTGGTCCTGTGTAAAGGAAATCCCCACTAACATATGACCATCAAAGCCTTCATTTCCTACCATTTCAGTTATAAGGTCCAGGTCAAAATATAGAAAGCACGACAATGGACAGCCAGCATTGAGTTAAATGGGAAGCTCCAACCAAAGATCTCAGATTGTATTTGTACAATAATAATGATGCTTGTGGATGGAATTGCAGGCCATGATCTAATTACAGGATTCATGTGAGCTTTGAATACCTGAATGCCGAGAATATTGTCCTACATTGTTCGTTTACGATTCTGACTGTCCATGGACTCTAATCCTTAATAGTGTCTGACATTAACAAAAGATTTGTGATTCAGTGTAGATTCCACAGCTTACTTACGGAATCCTGGTTATAAACTTCATCCATAGTGAATACTCACATCTTGAAGAGGAATATTTAGGTGTGAATTATAATGGAAACTGGGTGAACATTGTGACCATTCAATCTGAAACCACCCAAAGCCTCATTGATCTGCTAGAATCTGCCTGTGGTGCTTAGCTTCCCTTTAAAGTAAGTGTGTGAAACAAGAGAAATTAATTCCTTTCACCTTGTGTTTGTCCAATATCTTCATCGCATAGTGTTCCTTAGTAACTTTGTGCCTCACCAACATCACTCTACCAAAGGACCCTGTGCCCAGCGTTTTTGATCTCTCAAAGTCATCCAGACATGCTGTGCTCTGCAAGAGAAGGAAAGTCAGTGAGCGGCCTGTTTATTTTCTACATTCCAATTGTTCTACATGTGATGTCTTTCACACACAGAGTTCCCTTGCTGTAGATCATGCTATTTAGAAGCAATGCTGATTTTTAAAAAAATCTTCTTTCATGGGATATGGATCTTGCTGGCAGTGCCAGTATTTGTTGCCCACCTCTTGGTTGCCCTTGAAATGAGTAGTTTGCCATTTCCAACTGCAGTTAAAAGTCAATTATAATGTTGAGAGTATGGAGTCATAGGACTTGAAACAAACACATAAAAAGCATTAAATGCTCCAATCTACAAACTTGTGTCTTATAAACCTTTGAAATTTAAATTTCTTAAAGAAACAGCTTTCACCTATAGACCTATAGACACTCTTCTAAAATCCTCCAAGGTTAATAAACTGAAGTTCAGTTACAGCTTCTTCTGTTTTAATTGCGTTGGCATCATAGACTATTGACCACAGTCTGCCAACATTTATATGGGTGATGGTAACTAAACCAGGCAGGGACTGCTGAGATGATAGCTCTGATAATTAAAACTTTTAAATGACAGAATACTAAAAATGGGTCTTCAAGCAATTGGGGCTGTGAATATTTTCTTTCACAGCTTGAGGGATTGTTCTTGGGAGGAGAGGTTTTTCTTACAGTGTCTTGGAAATAAATGGTGTTTGTAGTTTGTGTGTTAATAGATGTTAATAACAAACAGTTAATAGATGAGCGAATAACTAATTGATTAGGTTTTGGTGATGGCAACAGATAGAATAATGTTAGCCAGAACACTGAGAAAAGTCCCTCCTTTTCTTTGAGCACTGTTATGGGATTTTTTAAAATGTTCATTTGAACTTGCAGGCTAAGAAGCTTTTCCTTTATTTGAAAGATAGTACTTTGTACAATTGAATGAGATTTGTATAGTGTTATCAGAGCTATAGTATCATCCTAGACTTGTTCCAGAAAAACAAGAGTGGAGTTTTGAGTTCGCTATTCCTGACTTGGATGACAGTGCTTTCTATGAACTGAGTCAAGCCATCACACTGTTGCTGGGTCACAGTTGTATCTGCTGAGACCAATGACATAAACGTCATTTTAATCCAGTGTTAGCTTGGTAAAGTCCAGTTACAACAGAGAAGTCAATAGGTAACAGTTAATCATGCCTCCACTTAATTCTGTATTAAAATACAAAGTTTAGTTTGTTTGACAGTGTCATTTTGAACTTCAAAAGAGCTATGATTGCGACTGTGTAATCTGTTTAGCAGATTGCAAGTTACAGCAGGCAGTAACAATGAAACCGTTCAATGAGATTGTCTCTTGTTTCGAGAGTGACATCGACTGAGGGTGCAGGTTTCTGTCATGGGTCTTCATGAGACTGAACAGGCCAATTCTTGACCCTCAGATCTTTGGTAGTCCCATGAGGCAGTGGGATTTCTGCTGCCTTTGTGCCTTATCATTTAAGTGTTTGGACTCAAAGCATGATGCAGCTTAATGAACAAGTTGTCTTCGCTTTGAACAACTGGTCACAAGCTTATCCCAGTCATTAATGTCAACACTACTGTGCTTCGAGGAGAGCTTCAGTGTGTTTTTGTAGCATTTTCTATGCCCTCCTCTGCCATCTGACCATTGAGTAAACAACACATGCCAGCGGAGATGCTTCACAGCTATCTGGACATGGTGTCCCGTCCATTGTAGTTGATTTTGCTAGAGTTTTGCCTGAATGCGTTCATATACTTATAATTTATCTCTTGCCTTTTCAAATATTAACTTTTAAGCTCTTTTGCCCATTTTCTTTTGATTCAAGACTTTATAACAACATTCTCAATTGATCTGGATTCCTCCTGTGAACTGATGGTGCAATTCCCCTGCTTTACCAGTTGGTGTTGCTGTGCATCGATGTGGGTCATTATTTCACCTCATTGTTTTAGAAAGATAGAAAATAGGTGCAGGAGTAGGCCATTCAGTCACTAGACTTGCTCTGCCATTCGGTGCGATCATGGCTGATCATCCAACTCAGTATCCTGCTCCTGCCTTCTCCCCATATCCTTTAGCCCTAAGAATGGTCCCTACCTTCTCCTTGAACACGCGATTTTGTTCATTCATGGGACATGGGCATTGATGGCTGGGCCAGCATTTATTGCCCGTCCCTAGTTGTCATTGAGAGGATGGTGGTGAGCTGCCTTCTTGAACCACTGCAGTCCACGTGCTATAAACAGGCCCACAATGCTGTTAGGGAGGGAATTCCAGGATTTTGACCAAGTGACAGTGAAGGAATGGCGATGCAATTCCAAGTCAGGATAATGAATGGCTTGGAGGGGAACTTGCAGGTGGTGGCCTTCCCATAGATCTGCTGCCCTTGTCTTTCCAGAAGGAAGTGATTGTGCATTTGTAAAGTGCTATCTAAGGATCTTTGGTGAATTTCTGCAGTATGTCCTGTCGAGAGTACACACTGCTGCTACTCAACTGGTGATGGTGGAGGGAATGGCTTGTTTGTGGATTCGGTGTCAATCAAGTGGGCTGCTTTGTCCTAGATGGTGTTGAACTTCTTGAGTGTAGAAGGACCTGAACCCATCCAGGCAGGTGCAGAGTATTCCATCACACTTCTCACTTGTGCATTGCAGACGGTGTACAGGCTTTGTTGAGTCAGGAGGTGAGTTACTCGCTGCAATATTCCTAACCTCTGACCCACTCTTGTAGCCACTATGTTTATGTGGCAAGTCCAGTTGAGTTTATGGTCAATGGCAACTCCCAGGATATTGATAGTGGGGGATTCAGTGATGGTAAACAATTGAATATCAAGGGGCAGTGATTAGATTATGTGGCATGAATGTTACTTGCTAATTGTCAGCCCTAGCCTTGACATTGTCCAAATTCTGTTGCATTTGAACATGGCTGCTTCAGTAGGCGAGGAGTCGTGAATGGTGCTGAACATTGTACAATCATTGGTGAACATCCCCAGTTCTGACCTTATGAAGGAGGGAAAGTCATTGATGAAGCAGCTGAAGATGGTTGGGCCTAGGCACTACCCTGAGGAACTCCTGCAGAGATCTCCTGGAGCTGAGATGACTGACTTCCAATGATTACAACCATCTTCCTATGTATCAGGTATGACTCCAACCAGCAGAGAGATCCCACTCCCCCCACCCCCATATCCACTGATTCCAGTTTTTCTAGGGCTTCTTGATGCCACACTTGGTCAAATGTGGCTTTGATATCAAGGGCTGTCACTCTCACCTCGCCTCTGGAATTCAGCTCTCTTGTCCACGTTTGAACCAAGACTGTAATGAGGTCAGGAGCTGAGTGGTCCTGACAGAACCCAAACTGGGCGTCACTGAGCAGGTTATTTCTGAGCAGGTGCTGCTTGACAGTACTACTGATGATATCTCTATCACTTTACTGATAATCGATAGTAGACGGATAGGGTGGTAATTAGCTAGGTTGGATTTGTCCTGCTTTTTGTGTACAGGACATACTTGGGCAATTTTCCACATTGCCAGGTAGGTGCCAGTGTTCTAACTGTACAGGAAATGCTTGGTTAGGGATGTGGCAAGTTCAAGTCTTCAGTACTATTGCTGCGATGTTGTCAGGGCCCATAGCTTTTGTAATATCCAGTGCCTCCAACATAGAGTGAATCAAATTGGCTGAAGGCTGTTACCTGTGATGCTGGGGACCACTGGAGGAGGCCAAGATGAATCATCCACTCGGCCTGAAGAACGCTTCACCTTATCTTTTGCATTGAAGTGTTACGACTTTCCATCATTGAAGGTGAGGATAGTTGTGGAGCCTCCTCCTCTATTGAGTTGTTTAAATTGTCCACCACTATTCACGATTGGGTGTGGCAGGACAGCAGAGCTTAGATCTGATGTGCTGGATCGCCTAGTTCTTTCTATGACTTGCTGCTTATGCTGTTTGGTGTCAAGTAGTCCTGTTTGGTAGCTTCAGCAGGTTGACACCTGCTTTTTATGGTATGACTGGTGCTACTCCTGGCATGGCCTCCTGCACTCTCCATTGAACCAGGATTGATTCCCTGCTTATTGGTAATGGATGAATGGGGGATATGCCAGGACATGAGGCTGTAGACTGTGTAGGAGTACAATTCTGCTGCTTTTGATGGCCTACAGTGTCTCGTGGATGCCCAGTTTTGAGTTACTTGAGTCTTGATCTGTTTGAAGTCTATTCCATTTAGCAAACACAATGGAGAGTATTTTCAATGTGAAGGTGGGACTTTGTCATGGACAGATGCATCTGCAGTTGGCTGACTGGTAAGGATAAGGTCAAATATGTTTTTCCCTTTTGTTGGTTCCATCACCACCTGCTACACACCCAGTCTAGCAGCTATGTCATTTAGAACCCGATGAGCTTGATCTGTAGTACTGCTGCTGAGCCACTCTTGCTGGTGGACACTGAAATCCCCCACCCAGAGTACATTTTGTGCCCTTTCCGCCTTCAGTGCATCCTCCAAATGTTGTTCAACATGGAGGAGTATCAATACATCAGCTGAGGGAGAACGGTACGTGGTAATCAGTGGGAGGTTTCCTTGCCCATGTTTAACCTGAAGCCATGAGACCTCGTGGGGAATGTTGAGGATTCCCAGAGCAACTCCCTCTGAACTGTATACCACTGTGCTGCCACCTCTGCTGGGTTTGTCCAACCGTTGGGACAGGACATATCCAGGAAAGGCAACAGTAGTGCCTAGGACATTGTCAAAATCATGGAATCATACTTATAGACAATGTCAGGCTGTTGCTTGACGAGTCTGTGAGACAGCTCTCCCAATTTTGGCATCCTTCCCCAGATAAAGCAATGGAGGAAATGCAACCAAGGTTTACAACACTGATTCCTGGGATGGCAGGATTGCGTCCCTCAAAATCTAAAGAAATCAGGCCAAACTATGGTGAAAACACTTCTGCAGCAATGCAACAAATTCAAAATGCACAGGTATGATCTTCAAAGTGCCTGGAGAAATACTCAGTTCCCAGCTAAAAGGGGAAGG